GGGCTTCTGTTTTATTCCTTCAGTGGTTGCTACTTGTTACATTGACAAAAACTGACAGCTAGGCCAGTAATGGTCCAGAGAACAAATCAAAATGAGTTAAGAGCGTTATCGAATCAATTTCAAATTGATCTTTACTGTTGTCCTGAATTTTTGTTGCCTGCCTGCCCTCAATTCTGAAAGAGAACAGAACATAATGGACAACAGTAAACCCAGTGAGGGTGGAGCAGCCAGCAATGACATCAACTGAAAAACACGACTGGACACAGTAGGGGAACAAATAACACTTGAAAGCACAGGACACATCTGCAGCTAGCAGCACAGCCATAACCTCAGAGGAGAGAGAGAAGTATCTCTCACCAGGATACAAAATAAGTAAATATCAAGCCTGGTGTATATCAGTGACACAGCCATGCCAAAAAAAAACTTGTGCTGGAAAACCTGTGATTCTCTGGTCATGTGTGTGCACCAACCGAAATTAACTTGCACAAGAAAGACTCGAAGAACAAAGTAAAGCCAAAAAGCCCATGGCGTTAAATATTGCTGTGGATCAACACTGCAATACACCTGGGCGAATCTTACATTATTGAAAAAAACTGAACTGTAGGGAACGGACCTTTAGGTAGAACATACCAATCTTAAAAAGGCTGCACGAGGCACCTCCTCCAGCCATAGTATATTAAGTCTCTATACAGCGGCAGACAAATGAAGGAGAAGATGACATGAGGACCTGGCAAGCACAATGAGGGAGGTGATTCCCCCTGCACTTCACTCTCGTGAGACCCAACCTAGAGTACTGCATCCAGCTCTGGGGTCCCCAGTAAAAGAAAGACATGGACCTGCTGGAGTGGGTCCAAAGGAGGGCCACAAATATGATCAGAGGGCTGGAACACCTCTGCTATGAGGAAAGGCTGACAGCGTTGGGGTTATTCAGGCTGGAGACAAGAAGGCTGCGGCCTTCCAGTACCTGAAGGGGGCTACAAGTAAGCTGGAGAGGGACTTTTTACCAGGGCACGGAGTGATAGGGCAAGGGGCAATGACTTTAAACTAAGGGAGGGTAGATTTAGACTAGATATAAGAAAGAAATTCTTTACTCTGAGAGTGGTGAGGCACTGGAACAGGTTGCCCAGAGAAGTTTTGGAGGCCCTGTCATTTAAAATGTTCAAGGCCAGGTTGGATGGGGCTTTGAGCAACCTGATCTAGTGAAAGATGTCCCAGGCCATGGCAAGGGGCTTGGACTAGATGGTTTGTAATTGTCCCTTCCAACCCAAAACATTCAATGATTCTATGAATCCATTTCTAATAGCAGAGTGCTGTGGAAACTATGCCGAGTCCTCCTGCAACCTTTGTCTTTGTGGAGACATAATGTCTCTATTCCTGCTACTGCAATGATGGACAGCTGAATTTTTAAGTGAATGACTCACTACAATCATGCAGAAACATGGTAATAGGGTTTCACTCAGTTGTACCCTAATTTATCATATCTTTTGCCTCATGTCTTTCTACCATCACAGAGACAGCTGGTCTGGAAAGCAAGCTATTAATCAATCTCTGCTGGTCAGAAGAGGCCAGTAACAATTCTGATTCAAATCATTTAGGCTGTCATTCACATTTCTCATTTCAGCGTGCATTTAATCTGAAAGCACTGGTCTTCCACTCAGTGCTCACCATCAGACCCTGCACATTCACAGAGTCCCGCTTACAATTCTCTGAAGCTACAGCTGCCAGCAAGGGCTTAGGTCCTGACAGTGATTGCCTAGGTAGCAACAATGGTAGAAAAACAGTAATGAAAAGAAAAGACGGAAAGAGGAAGGAATGAGCAGTTCAGCAAGAGGTGTCAAGAGGTTCAGACTGACATTGAAGTATGGACAAACCCAAAAGGAAGAGAGATGTGAGTGACACTAGAGCAAAATTAATGAGAGAAGTTCTGTGGATAGATAAGTTGCAAAAGGGGAAAGAAAATAAGGTTAAAATCAGTAGAATCTCAAGAAAAGGGAGATATGAGAAATACTGTATATCAAAGGAAACATTTAAAATACTGTCAAAGTAGAAAGTGATAGCCAAGCAAAACATTTGACAATTACTAAAGACTGGAGCTGAAGCTATCAGCAACATCAGAGGCTGTTGTGGATCTGAAACGGATAGCAATGACAGAAACTCCTACATTTGGTCAGAAATTGTGGGAATAGACATTTCAGTGAAAATGTTGGTGGAAACCAAGTGAAAGATGAAGTCACAGAAAATGCATAAGGGGTAAACGGCTCATATTATGAGTTTGAAGGTGAGGGAAGGTGAGGGGAATTTGCTTGCTAAATGGTTAGTGAACAGAAAGCTGCAATTGAGGGGGAGTCTCTGAAGACAAACATTCCTATACTTAGTGTTCACACCGAAATAGGTGCTGCCTTAAGTTACTGGGGTGGGGGTGGCCTCTTGAGGCAGGTGAGTCAGAAGCACAAGTGGACACTGGATGGTCAAAGAAAATAAGGTTTCAGGATCTGCCAGAAGTAAAAAAAAAAAGAAAAAAATAAAGAAAAAAGGGAGGGAGAGGGTAAATGAGAGAAGGACCCACTCCAGTGCTTCAGCAGCCAGGAGAAGAAGTGGTGTATGGAAGTGAATGGAATGATCAGTAAGACATCTATGTTTGTTACTTTGAATCTCAGCGCACTTCATATAGAAGAACCAGAGAAGTGTGAACAAAGACACACTTCAGTGGCATGGGACAGAAACAGAGAAAGGGGAAACCAGTTCCTGGCTGTAAAAGAAGAAAAGTGGGTGGAATCATGAAACAACAACAACAACAACAATAATAATAATAATAACAACATAGGAACATGCTTCAAGGAGTAAATTACAACCAAATCTAGAATAATCTAAAAATATACCAAATTATATTTAGAAATAGCATAGACAGCACAAGAAATAAAATATCAAGTATATGAAAAAATAATCTGCCAATTATTTGCCATTGGAATCCCAACAGATCTACCACAGATATCCAAAAATTTTTGGAAGATGGTATTAGCAGTGGCACGACTTCTAATCGGGAAGACCAAAAGTCTAGAGACCAGCTTCACCTCACCAAGTTCAGACAGTTGTGAGTGAGCAAAGGTGCTCTAGTCTCCCTTGAGGCACTTCAGAGGCCAGCTCAGATCCTGGTGGATGTAATCTTCACCTTCTGCCATGCTTCCTCCTCTCACTTTACTTACAAGAAAGCCCAGGATAACAGGAATCCTGATTTGGTGTTTAATCTACGATTTTGGGAAAAGAATTAGGAATAAGCTCAGCTCCCCAGAACAGCAAAAATCACAGGGTGGGCCTTCTGAAGTCCTGTCAACAGACACTGCGCAGTGCAATTTCAAACAGGGCACAGTCACTTGAACGACGTTTTTGCATATAATTGCTTTCACCTGCAGAGGATCATTAGTAACTAAACTAGCAGCTTGAATGAAAGTGGAAATGTTGAGTTTGAGACTAGAACTGATTTGTAAATTTCTGAGCTGGCTTTACTTTCTATTTGTTGTTTCAATATTAGGAAAATAATCTTAAAGTGTGTGGTTTTTAAATTAATCAATTAATTTCTGCCATTCTCTTTGGATAAATCTATTTAGACTGAAGGGGAGAGTTTATTCAGATTACAGTGTGACCTAGAGCGTCTGCTGCACGGTAAAATACTGGACACTGGCTCAAGTGTTGAGGTGATTATGCATTTAAGTGTGATGTGCTTTAGCGACCAACAAAAATTAAAATTGTCACTGTATCCTTCCCAACAACAAAGAATGGAATTTTTGTCTATAATTTCCAAAATATGGAATTTAATTAGCAGTATTAACATTGAAGCATTGTCATCAAATAGCTTAACATATGAATGATATAAATGAAAGAGATATTTTTAACCACGGAAAAGGATGAATTTTGGTTCCCAACTACCTAATTTATAACAAATATGATCCAGCTTTTCAGTGCTTTTATTTGCTTTCATGTCCTTTATACAAAATTAATTTCAAATTACTCTTTTTCTACACTTTCATATTATTGAATTATGCTGAATGTTATAAACCACTTTTATGGCTGGTTAGACATTTAAATTAGAATATTAAATATATGCCTATATTCTGCATGGCAGAGACCTTGAAGAAATATTCCCTGTAGTCAGAATTTTTTATGTACACAAGGATTATGAAACAATATGTTTTTTTCTTATATAGAAACAAGGAATATAATAAAATGTGTCATTATTCATACCAACTACTTTGTTAATATTAAGAATCAAAGACTAATTTTTAAAATAAAGCAAATAAAATCTAGAAAGACGGCATTTAGGACAAATACTACTCACCTGTTTTTAAAATACTATATGGTATGTACACATTTACATATCTAAAGCTAACTTGAAATACTGCTTAACACCAACACACATTACTGAAAAATCAAAAAGCAAGGTTTTCACTGTCAACATTATAATAAACCATCTGCATGTACGTTTGCTGTGACAATGTATCTCAAGCATTTTAGATTCTTTCGTAATATATTTTCACCACTTTTTTAGAAAACAGACATATCACTGTTAGTGAATATGAAATATTCAAAAGTATTGCTGGTCATTACAACCTATAGGTAAAACACAACATTCTCTGTAAAACATCAACTGCACTGAACACAAAGTAAAATTACCTCATTTTTTAGGTTTTCCTGTGTCTGTATTCTTCTCTAATGAACACTGACGGAATCTGGGATATATTACAGCACTTACATTTATGCTACTAGGTGTATTTAGTCTACTTCATTCTTAGTATTTCTGAAGTATTAAAATAAATATTCACTAAAATATTCACTGTATATAGAGCTTGTTACTTACAAAAATCTATGATCTATTACAATTAATCAATTACATCCATAGCCTATAGTGACATGTTAGAAAGTCAGAGGGAACACAAAGTTATAAACTGACAAAATTTATATTAATGATATGATATAATACGGTATGATATTAAATGAACGCATACCCCCACAGATATCGCCGTCCACATTTTCACACTGTCGATCATCACATTCACAGTTTTTGCCATGAACCCTGTTGTCTCCTGGAGGGAAACAAGTGCATTGGCCACATTCACACCTCCCTGTAAGAAAAAGCAATTGTTAGAGTCATGATTTCAGTACAGTAAAATAAATTAAATACAAACCCAAACCCTACCCCCCAAAAGACAAACTACAAGTCACGCTGTATTATTTGAAGTATGCACATAAACACTATTTAAAAGAAAGTAAAACAAAAAAGCAACAACTATCCCTCCTCTACAGCAACCAGAAGCAAAGTATATCATTGTTATGTCTTGGTGGAAACAGTAACAATAAGTAATCATTGACATTGTATGTTTTGCATATCTCAACTTTTCATAGCAGAGCTATGGCACATGTTTAACTGCATAAATAATCTCTATAATTGATCTAAAATGTTTAGCACGTATCTCAGAAACTCCAAAACAAATGTGATTAGAATTAAACTGTCTGTGCACAGGGCTACCGAAGATACTATCTCTTCGTAGAAACATAACAATTCAAATACTCTGTCAGGCATTTGGAAAGCAAAAATCCTTATAGTTTTTCTTTTCTAGGCCTGAGAGAATAGAAGTTGCAAGCAAAACCTCTGTCAGAGTGTTCCCTTCCACCAACCTGTTCAAGGGATGCCGAGTTTCAGCATCCATGCAGGGACAGGAATGACTCTCACACATTGATACAATGCACAGTCGATCCGATTTATTGGTCTGCTTGCGTGGTTATATACATTTTTCATATCTGCACACGCGATCACAATTATTCGGATAGGCTACAGACATAAATCACGCGCTGTTCACGCACCCCATATTCCCTTATGTTTGGTAACTATGCACTAACGCTAATAGCAACAGACCACCTGCACGTTCTTGAACACATCTTGTTTTTGCTAACCCACATCATGTTTATTCTTAGCTGTCCGTTCCAGCGGCCTGTCCAGCTATGTTAACCGTTTTGCTCAAGCAGCCTAGTCATGCTAACTCTCAAACTACATCAACCCCAACATCTCCCCCTTTTTCTTTTCAAAAAAAGCTAAGCTATCTTATCATTGCCTTAAAAACATTTGCTCAATTTGTGTTAGTTGCATCACAAAAATTTTCTTTACAGTTGTCTCTAGTGCCTTTTGTGTTATGCGTATTATACACGGAACCAATATAATCACTGCTTCCTCTACATCTCCCCCTTTTTTTTTTAATGAACTTAAAGCAAGTGCTACATTGACACACCTAAGCATCACTATTGGCTTTACGGTCCAGTAACAGCCCTGCTACAGTGCAACATTCAAAACAAACAGAAGAACACAAATGCTAATAAAAAGTTATATAGATGTGAAGTGCATACCATAACCTGTATTCATATTAATCCCCTAGGCTAAAATCAATGTATCGAAGGGTATAACTCATTAACTATATACAATACCTGCACAACTCACCAAACCAAAGACTCAAAGGCAGTTACTTAGTCCAGACAAATCCGTTAGATCACAGAAACCAAATAAA